CCCATTCTTTAGAGTGTTGAATTGCAAAATAAATAAAGCTAGGAAGATTGCTTTGTATAAATTTACATGCTGTATTAAAAATCCAATTGAAAAATGACTGGAGGTTTAGTTGTAAAGTAAAATATTCACATTGTGGATGGTAATCACTATTGACAATATTGACATTTCCTTAAAAAGCATCTCTAGGGTTGTTCTGTTTTTTTAGCATTTTGTCAGAATTGTGTGGAAAGAGTGATTAAGTTTTGGAAAATTGTTTTATTCATACTTATTAGCATTTCTCTGACATTCTCCCAGGATTTAAGTTTTTCTAGGCTGTATACACAATCATAAAATAAGTCATCAAGTCACATAAATGAAAATGCATCCCTTAAGTTTTTTGCTTTTTGCATTTGGTGAAGATTATGTGATTATATGGAAATAGGGATTAGGTTTTCAGATGTGTTTTATTCATATATTTAGCATTTCACAGAAAAATGTACCAAGTGTCTCCCAGATGTAATTTTGGCTCCACACATTTGCTTTACAAAATGCTGTCATTTCTCTCAATAATCAATACTTTTTATAATATGTAATTGCTCATTGCTTAAAAATCTGTTTTATTCATAATAACTCTTCTCCTTTCAGAAATAGAAGATGTTACAGGGGTCATACTTTTCCTGCTCAGTGACAAAGCAGCCATGGTCAACGGCCATAACATGTCTGTGGATGGCGGGTTTTCCATTTAACTTCCATGGAGTCCAGTCTGCTGTATAAGCATATTGTAATTTTACATCATTCCTCTCTTCTCAGTGACAGCTACTCACTGATGCCAATAAAAAAAAATCAATTAAAAAAAATCATTGAACATTGTTTACATTTAATTAATCGTGCCATCTTGACATCAAATATATATGGATCTTTCTTGCATTTATGCATGCATAATTGTAAAAGCAGTGCCTTTTTTTTTGAAAATTGTCCTGTGATTTTATAAAGCACAATTTACTTTTTATCATCATTCCTTAGCATGGTAGAAGGTTGTACTTGCTGTTAGCATTATATCTCACTTAAATTAGATTATTGGAGTATTAATGACAGGAATTGTATTTCCAAGAAAATGTTAGAAGATACGATTAGGTGCCATCAGTCTATACAAACATAATAATAATAATAGTAATATAAGTAGCCATTATTATCATTTTTCCAAGGCAGATCAGATTATGGTGCTCATTACAGGGTCCAATACTCTGGGTCCTGTGTTATTAAAAATAATTATGTTATTAAATATAATTACTATGTGGCCAGAGAATTTATTTCATATACTTATTGATTCTTAAGATATTCATATAAAGTGTTTGTTAATTTCATTAATGTAGCTTTTCACTGCCAATGAATTGTGCATTTTTTAGTTAAGCAATCTTTCCTTGCATTGACAATGAGCATTTTTGTTAATTTTCACAATGACAAATTGTGTCCAACAAAATCCTGTTTAATTTGTAATAATCAATTATTACATAGTCTAAGATAAGTGAGGAGTTCCACAGAAATCATTGCTAGAATCACAAAATTATTGATGAATTCTGTACTGTTGTCACTGCAGCAACTGTCTCCTAGTGACACTTAAATTATCTCATGAATGTGTCCCACATAAGTTTGAAATAAAAACATCCCATTGCTCAAGTCCTAAAGCCATTTTTACAGATGCACAATGAGTACTAGACCTTAAAAACTGGAAATTTCATTAATTTTGACTTTAATTTTAAGTCCGACAATGTATCTGTATCCAAACTGTTTTTCTGGTTCTGTTTCCAGTTTTTACCATCCTGTATAAAACGTTTCGGTCTCTATCTCCATTATGAGAAAGGATCAAGAACTAAAAATTAAAAAAATAGGCACACGGATCTTTTTTCTATGTAAGATTTGGATATTGTATACTTTGATGATCAAAGGGGAAATGCTGAAATATCCATGAAAATTAAAATTTTATTACTGAAAAGTCAAATGTTCTTGTGTGCCTTTAACTTTCCTCTCTCATCAACTATCCTCAAATCTTTCTCCCTCAGTTTCTAGTAAAGGTGGTACATTATCCAGCAGGTCAGCAAAGCTATCAGTATTGGTTTCACTACCATTATCCAGTCCACTATCTACCTCCTCACCAGAATTATTTGTCAACAGTGTATCTGTACTAACATAAAATGGTGCCACTAGACTTGTATCTGAACTCTGTGTAAGTCCGTCTATGGAAGTACCTGTGGAAGACTTATTCATTGTGTTAGTTGAGCTTGAAGACATGGGGATTGCATTGGTTGTACTAGTTGCAGGTATGACTGAAAACACTTCTGCGTGTTTGGAAAGTTTTTCCATCTGTCGAATTATCTGGAATACAAAATAAATCTTTAACATGTTATCAGATAATATTTGTACTTCTCTTTTATATAAAAACTTATGTAATAACACCATCATAGCATCAAGCATAATTCCATTTTATAAAATAAAAACATTTCCTAAGGATTCAAATTCATTGTGTATGCATTACAAATTGACCACAGTGACTGTGTCACAGAAGATTTTTATTACCCCCCCCCCCCCCCATCCCCTCCTAGCATCCATACAACAAAAATGCTCTCATACAGTAAAACTGACCTTTCTGGCTTTGGCCTGGACTGCCCCTTCTTTATGTTGAAACAACATAATAAGGTTCTTGCTGAACACCAAGGTCAACTGGTCCACGGTGAAAAGATCTGATCGCATCATTGCTTCTAACAGAAGTAAGCACCGCTGAAAAACGTAACATTCAATAGTAATCACATGACTGCAATCTATTCATCTGGAGAGGGAAGTCTGGAGTTGCTACATCCCAAAACATGAATTGTGTCAACTACCTGTACACTTTTGTTTAACTAGGGTCTATATATTTCTCAAAGCAAAGACTTAATTGCTAAGAATTTTAGCTATGTTGTGTTTCACAAAGAATCTTAATGAACATTTGCCTCTTTTATTTTAGTCCTTCAACTACTAGTGCATCCCTACAGCAAATTGTGATAATATTGACTGTCACTCTCAGTGTTAACATTAACATGGGTAAATCATTTCATAGGAGATTTCAGGTCAGTTTTTAAAATTAGAGTAGTTCACAATCTATATTAATCGGTTTAAGACTATAAGACTGAAATATTATAATTTTTTTGAGAAACAGACACCTGAAAAAGCTGTGACTAATAATCACTGACAATTGTATTTGTTGGATACTAAAAGTATCTAAAAAAAATATTCAATTGCAGTCTGATGCTTATCATGCTCTTAGTTTTCTGAAGAAATTCATTAGAGATGGCCTTGATAATTGTTTTAGTCTCCAATACCACCTACCATGAGCATCACATCATTTGTAGAAGTGAGAGCATCGTTTAACAAGTCTGTTATTTTTTCACAGTTCAATATTTGGCACCTAAAAAAAGACCTTTTATGAAAAGAATGCTGCAGAGTGTATTTGCTGATGAAAAATTGGTAAAACACAAAAAACACCTTTACATAATCTATCAGTCAAGTTTTTAAAAATGGCTAAATTAAACCAAGCTCTTTAGGTCAACATGTATTTCATTTGACATGAACTCTAAGACAAGCTGGATAAAGCCAAGCTTGTTAAAGTCAAGCTTGTTAAACCAAGCCAAATAATATTTGTTTAAAATACAACAAGCACCTTTAGTTTTAGAGATCACTGAAAAGTGACATAACTGTGCACACAACACAATTTTCCAAGTATACCTTTTAAGGAACTCCTGGATTTCTCTCCGAGAAGGGAGTAGTTTGGCACTTTTTGAGGTAAACTGGTTGACTGCCTGGACCTCAGATGACCAGTCATCACTCACAGCCAAGGAATTCATCCTGGTCAGCGAATAATTGAAAATAGATTCATTTAATTGGCAATAATAATTGGACATAAGTGCTTGCTTAATATGCGTCTTCAAAAGGGTTGAGACTGCTATTTAGTGAAAAATACAGTGTTGGGCGCAAGTGCTGCCTAGGCCAATGATAATTTTGGCTCCCAAAAAGTCAGAAATTCGCCGATATGTGGAAAACTCTCATCCCTGCTTCAAGCATTTGGGAGTAAAACTAGCTTTACAAGGGCAAGCTTAAAGGTAAAGACAACAATAACATACCTGTCAGACAATTCATTACTACCAGCACTGTGTCCAGTTGATCTGTCATGCAAGTTCCAGCTAGAACTGGTGCCCAGTTGACTTCCAGAACCACTACTTACTACCTCCTCCTCCTCCTCCTCCTCATCATCAGCCCAACCTCCTCCTGGCCGTCCTTTTACTCGAGCTAAAAAGAAAAGTAAATACTGAACTCAATAATTCAAGATTGTCTCTCTTTCCTGCTCTTTTATTTATTTATTTATTTACTTATTTATTAAGTCTTGCATGTCATAGTCATTACTGTAACATTTTGTTACAGAGACATATAACATGTATGCTGAAATTTTGGCTGACATGTTATTTCCATATCATTGGTACATATTTCATGATTTATAGGAGTGCATAAATATAATTATTATTAGTGTTACCATTCAATCTCTAATGTACTAATTGTGTAATTTGAATAATTAGTGTTTCAACAATAGTTATGGCAGTGAAAACAGTTTATATGTGGTCATAAAAGTTGTAAAAGGAATTACGAATCTCCAGGACAATGCTGAGAAAACTGCATAACATAGTTTGCTTTGAATTAAAAATTGTACGTATTATGGGTTGCAAGTTCAAAATTCCACATTGGCTGGGTGGATATTAATACATAATTATAAGATTATATACATTCATATTTTATACAATAACTTTTTCAGTACCTTTCTGTGTTCCTCTATGTGTATCAGTAATGCTGTTCTCTTGATTTTTTCCGGGAGACATTGCCTCCTGGAGTCTAACTCTGGTGTACTGGTCAAATGGACGCTTGAAATCTGCAGCTTTTGTCCTGGCTGTGGTCTCGCTGTGGTCCGAAAGACTGTCCGCAAGACTTCTCAGGCCACTGACCACTGTGGAGCCGAGGCTTTCTGCGAGTAAAAAATTGATTAGTACAGACAAAACAAATTACATTTGGTTCTTCAAATAATTTATTTTATGCATAATTTAATTGAATAATATATACAAAAACCATAGTCTCTGTCTTGCTGATTTCAGTATTTACTGTGGTAAAATCATTGGGTACTGATAATATCTTTTAACACAAATCATCTATCGTTCAATCATAAAATACTAAAACTACTGCTTGAATAGAAATTTGTTTTATCCTAATCAATCTTTATTGTTACTAGAACTATAACTATAGATTTACATTTCAATTAACTATATATCCATGTAAATTATAATCATGATCTCCAATTTACATGTACTCACAACATTATAATTTTCACTTCATTGATTTTACAAAAGAAAACTGTAGCAAACTTACTTGTTGTTTTGTTGGGGCTGTTACCAAAGCCTTCCAAACCAGACGAAGTAGAACCACTAATCCCAACTGAAACGGAAAGACAGCCATTTTACAATAAAAAAACTCAACCGCAGTAAATGTGTACTGCTTATGTTTGTCATTTTCCTTCTTGTTGCCAAAGTTGCAAGTATAACCTTCCTTTATTCTTATAAGCCATGAGCTAAATATACAGTGAAACTTTCCAGTACAGTGTAATGTGAATACCACACGAGAGTGATCATACAATAATAAATCTTTCCACTAACCAGCCTCAATCCTGCCCTCTGGTGGCGTTGTTCTGTGCTGCATGCCAGTCTCATTGTACAACTGCTGGGACAGTTCCTGGGATGAAAATATCACACACCAGTTAGCCAACTACCATGGAATATGCTGAAAACTTAACTATTTAAAACTCTAATAGTACACCATGTGTTGTTATAAAAACAGTGTTTACATGTAGTGCCATCAACTTTATTGTCATCATTATTATTTCTGTCATTTATTTATTTTGCTTTTACATGTTCTACTTACGTATCAATTTTTTTTCATAGCAGAAATTTTCTTTTTTATTTGAGTAACTGGAGTTTGTAGGAAGAATGATTCATAAATTTCTGAATGATCCACAAAATTATCTTTTCAGATATTTGTTAGACATATAAAGCGATAGTGCCCTTACTTTGGCTGCCTTTCTTACTGTCTCATAAGGTGTGTTGCCATGGAGAGGATCTGGGGGACCCCCAAAACCTACACAGGAATAAATATTTACTATGTTTGACTTTGCATAAAAAACACCTTCGAAGTTTGACTTATTTAAAAAAGTCTGGTCACCAAAATAAAATGCAAAATATGTGCTGTTAAAAAGAAATTATTTCATTTCACTTACCGGTGCATATTATGGTAACTATACAATTGTAACAAGAACAATATGGTGATACAAGATTAAATGAGATAACACTAAAAACCTATACCAGGATAAACAATTAATTATAGTGGCTTTGTTGTAGCTGACTGAGTGTATTCAATAATGAAAATAGCATGATAACTTTATCTTGTCATTTTTTAAAAGTATAATTAAGTTTGAAAATCTCACTTTCCGCTTCCTTGATGCCCCTGGACTTTTTCCTCAGTCCCTCCACAAATTCGTGGTGGCCATTGTCCACAAGGTATCTCATTATTTTTATCACCTGAAAATTCAAAGGAATTTAAAATTATATTTTGAATAACTTGGTATCATATTAGGATTTCATTTGTTTCCTTTAATGCAAAATTATTCTGAATTTCATTCAGTGCTACAATTTAAGCATTTCATGCACCTGAATATGCATCTTTCTTTGGTATATATACTATGAATTTGGTATAAAATAGGCAGAAAAATACAAATGCATGCATGAACACGCACGCACACACACTCTGCATATATGTGTGTGTGTGTGTGTATACATATATGTTAATAACACATATGTACCATGCACACACATAACACACCTACCTTTAGTTTAACATGGTAAGATTTGGAATCCAGTTTATCAACCAAATAACTCAGCAATGACTGGCAGTGGGATCCCGATTCATATGAAATATCTTTTTATATCTTCATGGAATATAACACTTTGAAAATAATCTAAACACACAGGTCTTTATATTACAATTTCTTTTCAAGCTATTTCTTGTTTAATTAGATTACATTAAGATAACAAAGATTTGCTGTGCTGATGCAAGGAATTATTTGTCAATGAACAAAATTATTATTTATTTATGTCAGTTATATAATGATGCAAAAGGTGGGTGACACATAAAAATTAAGGCATCCTAGTTCATGTAACTGAATATGCCATTGTTTGACTACTTGGCTGATTTTCGTGCAAGGTCACAAGACTATAAAACATTATCTTAAACAGAAAAAAAATTCATACACCCAGTCAGGCAGCTAGTACTTGAACTTATATGTCCCTTTATTAGTAACTCATTGTTTGTTCTGTATTTTATAACTTATCTAGTAAATGACAGTTGATTCAGAAGATGACATTGTGTGTATAAGTCATTTTATTATATTTAAAATCAATCAATCTAAGGTCCGGTGCATTGATCAAAACATCTAAAATACTTTCATTTTAATTGTACGTTTTTAATAAGTAACCTTTTCTATCAAATAAATCCATACCAAAACTGAACTTGAAAGTTAGGACAAATTCCTTCTTCAAATATAACCTTTGAAAAGATAACACAAAACTGATAAAATTAATAACAAATCAACAATAGCAATTTATCTTTTGACTGATACAGTATTGACTGCTTACATGTGTTTAACTAAACAGTAGTTCATTTGACAGTGAACATCACATAGAGCAGGATGTCTCCACTATCATCCAAGTCAGCTCTGCTGTTGGTGACATTGTGTATCACACTCTACTGTGTTCCTGCTATACCAGCACCCAGTCCAACCTCTACTGCAGTAAGCACAGGAGACCTGTACTCTGCTGTCTCTAAGCTCCAGCAAAAGGTTGAACACCAAGCCATGCTACTCAACTCACAGTCATTGTTACTTATGCAACAAATGCAGTTGCTTAATCAGCAAAAGCAGCAGTTAGAACTTCAAAAACAAGAGCATGAACTTCAAAAGCAGCAAATAGAACAACAAAAGCTGCAAATGGATCAACAGAGACAACAGATTGTTCAACAGAAGCAGCAGTATGATCTGCATAGTCAGAAAATCCAAGCCATGCGGTTGTCAATTTTTGGTCTCAAATCACATTTTTCTCCAGAGGACTGTAAAAGTCTGCTGGTGTCTGGAAAAAATCCACTCCCAGGTGCCCAGATTAAAGTTTCCTCATATGTATATCCATATGAGGAAGCTGCAAGAATATACTCAATACAAGATGGTAAACTCTCAGGGAGCTGGGCACCACAAATACGTAACAAATACCAGTGGCTGCAGTTTGACTTTGGAAGGGTTAGAAAAATAACTGCAGTTTTAACAAAAGGGAGAAATATAGCAATAGGCACTGGAGGAAATAAAGGTCCACAGTTTGTCCAAGAATATCAGCTCCATTATGGTAACAACACAATGTTAATGAGAGCATACCAAGATGTCAAAGGTCAAATTCAGGTAAAAAATCCAATAAAGCTCCATACTGTAATTCATTTAGCCTTTTTGATAATGAAATACAGCACTTGAGTTGCAATTAAAACAATGATAACCTGTCAATAACTCAATTTACATAAATCGTCCACAAAGTTTAATTGTTAAACTTTAAATATCTTTTCAGACATTCCCGGGCAATTTTGACCAGGATACCATTCAAGAGAATGTCCTTCCCAGTCCAATATATGCACGATATCTCCGCATAAATCCAGTGTTATGGAGAGGTTCAATAGATATGAGAGCAGATGTCCGTGGATGTTAACAGTTTTATAATATTGAAGAGGGAAACTTTTGAAATATTCCCATCATGAAAAAGACAATTATTATAATTAAAATTGCTATGTCTCCTCAGGATGAACAAATCTTTCAACTTGATGTCAGATAATCTTTTCTTAAACGTGCAGGTCCAATCATTCCATTAATGACAAACTGCTGCATTTACATAAGTGGACCTAACTTGATAAAAACATGGTCAAAATCTTTCCATTAAGCCTTTTATAAGTTGCAATTATAATGAAATCAACCACTGTGGCTGTCGTGTATTTCTCCTTGACATGGGAATCAGCCTTAAAACAACATGCATATGTTTTATAGTATTGTGATTTAATTGGGTATTGAAGGTTATTAAATTATTATTAAGTGCACCGACATATGGTGGTTGTTTAATTAGATTACATAAAGATTTGCTGATGCAAAGAATTATTTGTCAATAAAAAAAAAAATTATTTCAATATCAGTCATTTAATGACGCAAAAGGTAGAACAATGGGTGACAAAAATTCAGGCGTCAAGGTTCATGTTACACATATAACTGACAAAAGATGCCCTTGTTTGACTACTTGACTGATATCTGTGCAAAGTCACAAGACTTCTAAGGATAATCTTAAACGTAAAAAATAAAATAAAACACCCAGTCAGGCACCAATTACTTGAACTAATATTCTATTTATTTATTTATTGTTTGTTCTGCATTTTATAATTACATTGTTTCCAGTAAATGACAGAGATTCAGAAGATGGCATTGTATATATTATATGAGACTTTTTATTGCATTTAAAAACCATTAAATATATCATTAGGTCTTGTACTTTGATCAGAACATCTAAAATACTCTCATTTCAATTGTAAGCTTTTAATAAGTAAACCTTTTTCTGCCAAATAAATCAATACCAGAGAATTGAACTTGAAAGATAAGACTTTCTTGACATGTATAACCTTTGAACAGATAACATAAAATTTAATTAAATTAATAACAAACTACAGCAATTGATTTTTAGACTGATACAGTATGCTGTATCAACTGCTTACATGATTGTGTTAAGCTAAACAGTTCTAAATTATTTGACAGTGAACATCACATAGAGCAGGATGTCTCCACTATCATCCAAGTCAGCTCTGCTGTTGGTGACATTGTGTATCACACTCTACTGTGTTCCTGCTATACCAGCACCCAGTCCAACCTCTACTGCAGTAAGCACAGGAGACCAGAACTCTGCTGTCTCTAAGCTCCAGCAAAAGGTTGAACACCAAGCCATGCTACTCAACTCACAGTCATTGTTACTTATGCAACAAATGCAGTTGCTTAATCAGCAAAAACAGCAGTTAGAACAACAAAAGCTGCAAATCGATCAACAAAGACAACAGATTGTTCAGCAGAAGCAGCAGTATGATCTACACAGTCAAAAAATCCAAGCCATGCAGTCGTCAATTTTTGGGCTCAAATCCCATTTTCCTCCAGAGGACTGTGAAAATCTGCTGGTTTCTGGAAAAAAACCACTCCCAGGTGCCCAGATTAAAGTTACTTCATCTGTATATCCATATGAGGAAGCTGTAAGAATATACTCAATACATAATGATAAACTCTCAGGGAGTTGGGCTCCACAAACACAGAACAGATACCAGTGGCTACAGTTTGACTTTGGAAGAGTTAGAAAAATAACTGCAGTTTTAACAAAGGGGAGAAATATAGCAATTGGTAAAGGAAGAAATGAAGGTCCACAGTTTGTCCAAGAATATCAGCTCCATTATGGTAACAACACACTGTTAATGAAAGCATACCAAGATGTCAAAGGTCATATTCAGGTATATAATTCAATATGCTAAGATTCATTTAACCTTTTTTGATAATGAAATACAGCACTTGGTCCACAATTAAAACAATGATAACTTATCAATAGCTTAATTTAAATAAATTGTCCACAAAGCTTAACCATTAACCTTTAAATATCTTTTCAGACATTCCCAGGCAATTTTGACCAGGATACTGTTCAAGAGAATGTTCTTCCCAGTCCAATATATGCACGATATCTCCGCATAAATCCAGTGTTATGGAAAGTTTCAATAAATATGAGAGCAGATGTCCGCGGATGTTAACAGTTTTGTCATAATTTGAGAAGCATAACATCTGAAATATTTGCCAAAGGGGAAATACAAAACCAATAATTAATAATTGTCATTTGAGTTGAGATTTTGTAGGTAGCAGATATATGCACAGTATCTCTGCAAAAAGCCAGCGTTATGAAAAATTCCATAAATATGAGAGCAGATGTCCGTTTAATGTTAACAGTTTTATAATACTGAAGAGGGAAACTTTTGAAATATTCCCATCACAAGAAAGACAATTATTATATTTAAATTGCCATGCCTCCTTAGGCTGAACAAATCTTTTAACTTGATGTCTGATAATCTTTTCTTAAACATACAGGTCCAATCATTCCATTTATTACAAACTGCTTCATTTACATAAGTGGACCTAACTGGATAAATTTTCAAAATCTTAACCATCAAGCCTTTTATAAGTTTTATAATAAAATACAGCCACTGTGGCTGTCATGTATTTCTCCTTGACATGGGAATCAGCCTTAAACCAACATGCATATGTTTTATAGTATTGTGATTTAACTGGGTATTGAAGGTTATTAAATTATTATTAAGTGCACCGACATATGGTGGTTGTTTAATTAGATTACATAAAGATTTGCTGATGCAAAGAATTATTTGTCAATAAAAAAAAAATTATTTCAATATCAGTCATTTAATGACGCAAAAGGTAGAACAATGGGTGACAAAAATTCAGGCGTCAAGGTTCATGTTACACATATAACTGACAAAAGATGCCCTTGTTTGACTACTTGACTGATATCTGTGCAAAGTCACAAGACTTTTAAGGATAATCTTAAACATAAAAAATAAAATAAAACACCCAGTCAGGCACCAATTACTTGAACTAATATTCTATTTACTTATTCATTGTTTGTTCTGTATTTTATAACTTACACTGTTTCCAATAATTGACAGAGATTCAGAAGATGGCATTGTATATATTATATGAGACTTTTTATTGCATTTAAAAACCATTAAAGGATTTGCGTCTTGCCGTCAGAATGGCCTGAACGGAACATATTCTTCANAATCCCACGGCAACACACCGAGGCATAACGAAAATTCCTCAACTCTGTTCAACACAACTTTCCTTAACTTCTCCGTCTGTATGCACCATGCAGCTCAGTTGAGTCTCATAGACCTTTATCGTGTTTGTCGTCACAGTACCACGTGACCCAGATCTGTTGCTTCATTTATGCATACTAGTATTGAGGTGAGGTTTACTAAAACGCTTTTTTCTACTAATTAATTGTTTTTTATAATTTTTAAATGGTGGGGATCGATTAAAATATACCTCTAGTGTATAGATTGAGTGCTGAATCTTCAGAATTCGAGGAATAGATTTTTATTAGTCTATTCTCCTTTAAATATATCATTAGGTCTTGTACTTTGTTCAGAACATCTAAAATACTCTAATTTCAATTGTAAGCTTTTAATAAGTAAACCTTTTTCTGCCAAATAAATCAATACCAGAGAATTGAACTTGAAAGTTAAGGCTTTCTTGACATGTATAACCTTTGAATAGATAACATAAAATTTGATTAAATTAATAACAAACTACAGCAATTGATCTTTAGACTGATACAGTATGCTGTATCAACTGCTTACATGATTGTGTTAAGCCAAAAAGTACTAAATTATTTGACAGTGAACATCACATAGAGCAGGATGTCTCCACTATCAACAAAGTCAGCTCTGCTGTTGGTGACATTGTGTATCACACTCTACTGTGTTCCTGTTATACCAGCACCCAGTCTAACCTCTACAGCAGTGAGCACAGGAGACCTATACTCTGCTGTTTCTAAGCTCCAGCTAAAGGTTGAAGACCAAGCCAAGTTACTCAACTCACAGTCATTGTTACTTATGCAACAAATGCAGTTGCTTAATCAGCAAAAGCAGCAGCTAGTTAGAACTTCAAAAATCCCATTTTCCTCCAGAGGACTGTAAAACTCTACTGGTGTCTGGAAAAAATCCACTCCCAGGTGCCCAGATTACAGTTTCCTCATATCTCTATCCATATGAGGAAGCCGCAAGAATATACTCAATACAAGATGGTAAACTTGCAGGGAGTTGGGTTCCCAAAGTTTCTAACAGATACCAGTGGCTGCAGTTTGACTTTGGGAGGGTTAGAAAAATCACTGCAGTTTTAACAAAGGGGAGAAATATAGTAATAGGCACAGGAGGAAATAAAGGTCCACAGTTTGTCCAAGAATATCAGCTCCATTATGGTAACAACACACAGTTAATGAGAGCATACCAAGATGTCAAAGGTCATATTCAGGTATCAAATCCAACAAAGATCCACATTTAGATTCATTTAGCCTTTTTTTGATAATGAAATACAGCACTTGGTCCATAATTAAAACATTGATAACTTGTCAATAACTAAATTTACATTATTTAATCATCCACAAAGGATCATCATTAACCTGAAAATAATCTTTTCAGACATTCCCAGGCAATTTTGACCAGGATACTGTTCAAGAGAATGTCCTTCCCAGTCCGATACATGCAAGATATCTTCGCATCAATCCAGTTTTATGGAAAGGCTACATAAATATGAGAGCAGATGTCCGGGGATGTTAACAGTCTTGTGATAATTTGAAAAGGATAACTTTTGAAATAATCCCCAAAGGAGAGAGGCAATACCAGTAATTATCATTGTTGTCTGACATGAGAGCAAGTACTTTTGAATAGCATCAAGAAATAATGTGCTAGTGATTGCTGTCAACCATCTTCCAATATGCTACCACTGGGTTAATAATGTTATCTTTATTTAACTAAATTTTAATATATAAAAAAATCTTAAATTACTGGTACTAAGCTCATACCAGCACCTACTTAGCATTCTTTTTTGGTTAAATAAAAACATGGTCAAAGCTATTGCTGTTAAGTATTACTAGTATTTATTTTTATTATATCAGACTCCTTAAATTAGATATGCAGAGCCTTCTGTACATCATAGTATCAGGAGTTAAATAAACTTCATTATTTCAATTCACTTTCAAGATTTGGTTTTATCTTGTGGGTCAAGTTTCTTTATATCATGTACATCCTTTTAACAGAATATGCTGGCAGTAAACTGTACTTATCAATATTTCAGCTTTACCAAAAATTATTTCAAGGATTAAATGCACATAATACATTTTGCTACATTTGACCCATGAGGTTACCAGCATGCAGAGATGATATACCGTGATTTTATCACTCTTAAATGGGTCTATGGGCCATTCCGTGGTATTTGGTCCGCAGACCTCCAAATTTGAAAAAGGAATCCTACTTATAAAACTTATAATTTCTGAAACCAGACACCATAAGACACCAGAATCCAAAAGAAATTTTAGGTTTTGATGATTAATTATGATTTTATTGACACTTTTATCTGGAAAACTTATAAAATAGTGTCACGGAAGGACATTTTTATTTTTGATATATTTTTCATAATAGAGATTATTTTAAACAATAAAGGCTAAATACATAAAATATAACTTATTTCTTACATTTAGTCAAGTGCATTAGATTAAAAAATATTTGATTATAAAATAATGGATTAATTAATATCAATTTGTCCTTCAGTGACGATTTTGGTACCTATTTTTAAAGTTTACTCAGTAACTACAAAAGCTAAAAACTTTTAACTTCATATTCTCCTCAACCATGATAGGGGCCAACAAAATATGAAAACATCTTTCCTTAGAACCACTTCAATGAGAAATTAAATCCAAATATATAAGCATTAAACATGACACCTAGCACAGTGGAAGCACGTATGAGGCATTTTGATTGGGCCATAACAGGTCATGTGACCAATGAGCCCTTAACCCTTATGTCTTTCAAGATAATCTTGAACTTAAAATTCACAATTATTATATATAGAAGCATTTTTAAACTGAGAAACATTTCATTTGAATGAATAATTTTGAAGTTATTATAATTTAGACAATTGATTATATTTATAATTAGTAGATTTGGTAAGATTTTCTCTAAAAATGTCCCAATATTATTTAAAGATGATCAGAGCAGATGAGAACTTATATTATAGTCAAAATTAGTAACATGTTTGAAGATGAAATATATTACCATAGAAGGACATGTTTACCTTTGATATTATTCATCAAACTTATGCTGGTATATGTTCATAAAATATCATTATTAGCCTTATTTTACATTTTATTTAGCAATGGACAAAACGTTCTTCCCAGACGTGTCCTTCCATGACGCCTACTTGATTTTTTTATATGCAAAATTTTCAATTTTTTTTTTCCAAAAATATGTTTATACACTGAATAAGTGAAATAATCAAATATTCAGATTTTGATTTGACTTTAAAAATATCTCCACAGACAGAGCAGAATTTTAGTGTTGAAGTTGAAAGTTAAAATGCCATGTCCATTTCACGTCATTCCGAGATGCTAACTATTTATTATAATTTTTTTGTAACTATAATTTTTTTAAACCTAATTTTTTGCCTAATTATAACTTATATATAGAAGAATAAACATACAAAAAATGGACCTTGTAACTTTTTTACTTTTGAAAATATTTTCATTTAAAGTGTCAAATGTCCTTCCGTAACAGCAAAAAAATACCACGGAATGGCCCCTATCTAAAATGCCCAATAATGCACAACCATGCAAAAAAAATTAAACAGTCCAGCAGCAAGTAACTATTTGTTTAGTTGGGTCGAGTTTAAAAAAACCCAGTAATATATTTAGCTTTTTATTTCCCCGTTTTTTATGAATGACTGTTTCCTGTGTTTACTTTCAACTGGACTAATTTTTCTCAGGTGTATTGTGCTGTGTTGTGCTTCATTACACCACATTGTATATTTTGGGTAGACTGCTCTTTCACTGCAAATTCAAGCAGCACTGACTTTCATCCACATAATGATATCTCTGAATTTAAAATAAATTTTTCTATGAATATTTGACTTTGACAAGGATACTGTTTATTTCCTTAAACATATAACCAGCAGTGGGTTGTTCATTGTCTCCAGTTGCCTTTTCCAGGAGGGGATACTGAAATTTTAACAAAGATGACACTGTAAACAACTAGTTACTAGTAAGTAACTACACTGTATGATAATATATCATTGCTATTGTCACAAAAAAGGGATATATCAATAAGCAAGTTAAACATCTCACTCAATTTCGTAGCTTCAGTTCAGGGCTAGAATTAGGTTCCAATTCTTTCTAAGTCCCGACAAATGTTTGTATAATCTAATTCATGATTGGACTTTTCGATTAAAATAAATTAGATTATTAGAATCAGTATCACGCCGGTGAGATCAGGTTTTTTTCTAATTAAAATGTCTAAAATGCGTAAGCAAATGCCAAAAACAATTTTGCTAAAAGCTCAAATCGATATGTATATGCGGCTGATATTTATCGTAAAATTGAGAGAATAAAACTACAAACCTCTTTAAGAAACGAAATTTTATCAAGGAAGGATGAAATTTGATTTCCCTCTTCCACCATCTTGGTACTTTCACGCCTCCAAATCACCAAGAGTGTAGGGTAAAATACGCCTCACGACATTAAAGAGTCGTCTCATGCAAGTTCCTTTCGTAGAGCCTCATAAACAAAGCTCTTAAACTTCCTAATTCGACTTTCATTTGATAGGAATTTTTAAATTGTCGCGTCATTTAAACTGAGATGCCTTTGGTGATGCTGTCCTAATTCCTGGCGGGCAATGTCCCTACAAGAGGAAGTTTCTCCTTTAATTTTGCAGGTGACTTTATTGTGTACAGTCATTAACATTTGATTAAAAGCCGGGTAATTTTTTTCTTGCAGTAAATATGCAATTAGCTACTGAATATAGAAATTGATTGGACAACGCTGTGATGGACTTGGATTTTTACACTCTAGATTTGCTAAGATGTTTTGTTTCAAAGTCATAAAACATGCTGAGTTCAAAAAGTAGAAGGATCAGATTATTTTCACTATTTATTGGATTTTTTGTTTTATTTTAAATTTATTTTAGAACTTTGATAAAAAGACAGGTTGAGTTTAAAAAGTCATTGTGATAATTTATTAATTGACACAAAAAGTACTGACATACATGTACCAACATTTTGTCATGTTTTGCTTTTCGGTTTAATTTCTACATGTAGTGTTTTCCTTAATCTTGCTGATTGGAGAATATGTTTGGGGTTAATTGTAACTTGTTAGAATTGTATCGGTTTTGTTTTCAGTTATTTGAAGTACCATCTCCAATTCTGTGATGTATTTGAACATTTTTTTGTGTCTCATATTAGCAATAAATGTGCATTAATTTTTTCTCGACAGACCTTTTCTAGTTAAGTAATTAATTGTTCTTTATATTTGTTATATATGAAAGTAACTCTCTTGCCTAAGCCCCAATTATCAAATGTGTCTGATTCATTTGATATGTTTGTTTCAAAGTCCTGTATGGTGTCTGATCTGCATGGAACTTGTCCCTTATATATACTTATGCACTTTATTAAACATGTTAGTTGTTACAATTCATATATAATTTGATTTTCAATCATTGTCATCTTGCAGGTGTTGCATTCCAGACCATTAGAGGGCAGTGATATAACTAAAGAGGATGTGGATGCTTTACTACAAGAAGACTTACCAGTAGTTGACCAAGACAAGGAGCCTGACCTGAAGGTGTTGGGATATCCAAGCCACCCACTTTACTTGGCAATATCTGCCAGACTGTGTCAGTGGATGGAGACTGGGTCAGTGATTAAGGGTGCTTTCACAATGAAAGTATCATACTAAGGTTGTTCTAAATAACTATGTGGGAACTCTTGCTGAATGCAATCAGATTTACAGATTAACATGCCTTCTCTTGTTTTCAGTGTACTAGTACATGTTTAATCACCAGCTTCTCTGTCTTGTACTCAGTGTGAGGTGGAGGCTTGTTAATCTGTAAATCTGATTTCATTCAGTGAGAGACCCCACGGCTCATTGTATAATCACCACTTTCTCTGTATTCTACTCAGTGTAAGGAGGAGCCCTGGAGGCGTGTTAATCTATAAATCTGATTGCATTCAGCAAGAGTCCCCACAGAGTTGGTTTCAAACTACCTAGTACTGTAACAATAGTTTCATTGTGAAGGCACTCTCAAAGTGATCATAGCAAGGTTGTAACTATAGTCAATAAATAATAGCACCCTAGGTCTTTCTGCACTGATAAACCATACAAAGTTGGACTAGAGGATGATTATACAGACAAGATTAGTTTACATCACTCTTAGATACTGGTAGCAGCGTCTTCATTTTCAAATCTCCACATGTGCATGTTAATTGGACCTACTTGATAGTTTGAAGTGCCAGCTTAAGGTCAGGCACAACAGTCAGAAATGTATTGAAATTTGAAAATAAAGAAGCCAGCTGGCTTGGACTCTGAAACTCTGGTTACAGCTAGATGAGTAATGTTGATCTTTTTTATTGACGATATAGATAAACACATGGAAGCAAAGAACGTGTGAAGTATGTGTTCTCGATTCCTCACTCATTTCTTTATTTATTCATTTATTTAAGGAATTGTCCAGTAGACAAATTACCCAAACACAACCTTTTAGAGGAAACCAACTCAACATTGACCAGGTAATGCAGGTAGAAGTATTTGGCATTTATGCCTCTTATAAACAAGCCTTTATAATTTAGTTCCATTTGTAATGAGGTTGAGCTTATCCTCGTACTTATACTAAGTTTTCTTTACTTCTATAAACTTGTTATCAAATTTATTTTTTGAACTAGAATTAATGGGGTTCTAGTGAAGGTTGCCAGCTGCTTGTTTCATTTTTTTTCCAGTGCCCAGGCTTATCAGCCCTATCACAGCACTCTGTCACTGGGGAAAAACATATTTTATCCACTATTTAGATTTTTTTTAACATGATGTCCCTAAACTCAAGGGATAGTAACAAGGGCAAGGGGCAATTACATGTACTTGTAGTACACTACAATTAGAAACAATTAAGCTGGTTGAAATAACACTGTTAATAAAGATGTGGTGACAAACACTTATAAATGAAGAAAAAAAGAACCATAGACTGATGTAAAGCAATTTTTCAATTGTATAAAGTTTTACCTATAAATATTCATTTAGAAAGAGTTCTTTATTATAATATTATGTCTGGAAAAAATATTTGTTTAAAGCAAACTCAGATTCTGATTGTGGTTCAGTATTGTAGAATATTGTATTAACTTTATGCATCATCAAATAAAAATCAAATATGAGATGTGATTTGTATTCCATGTGCAGCACTGATGTCAGAACACAGACTGATGACAGACTAAAAGACCTGTACGTTGGCTGGGCAAGTTTTAGTGGTAGTGAGAGGATAGACAAGCTGAAGGACATACTTAAGGTGATAAAGCTTCTTCATTAAAGACAGTCTTCAGAATAGGTAAACTCTCAGACCCCATTTCCAGAGATTAGATCGATCTACTTTAGATCGACCTAACTCCCTGGGGGTGGACATGAAAGTTAATTACCCCCTTACAGCTTGTAGTAGGCGGGACGGACATTTAAGCTGGATTATCTGACAGTAATCTAGTGAGACTCCCCGGGGGGATAGATCGATCTAAAAGCTCTGGGAATACAGCCTCAGTTACTGTGATAGTTCCTTCAATCAATAAGATATAATATCAGTTGCTGTCCTTCTAGCCTAAAGTGACAGAAACATCGAAGTTTGAAAAAACTCGCTCACAATAACTGATGCAAATTGTTGGTAACTGGGGCTTATCTCTAGATAATTGCATAATGAGGAGGATTATGTAAAAAAAAACTTTGAAGTCTGTTTCAAAGATAACAGAAATGACAAAAAAGTAGCCTTATGCAAGTAGCCTTTTTAAGAACTGATGTAAAATCAGAATATTCTTTAGATTTATCAGTTTGTTTTATACAGAGTTAATATTTGTTAATTACCCTGAAAAAAATAACAGAGAAAATGAACAATGAAGTTTTCAAATGTGGGAAAAATAAAATATAGCTTGATGGATAGAAATAAATCTTAAACTTAAATTTACTTGACCTGATAACAAAATGTAAAAAAATTATCAACAAGGTTTCAACTTTTGTGAATTTTTGTTTCAGTTATTGGGTCGTAGGGGTTTAATGGACTTGTTAGGAATGAGGAGAACTGTGGGCTCAAAAGATCTCTGGCCACCCCCAAGGTCAACCCTGGAGAATACTTTCAACTCTAAACACAGGTGATGATACCAAGTGGCAAATATTCAGTGCACTATAGATCAGCATATAGTAAAAGATCTATTCTCTTAGATATATATATTTCAGCACTTTTCCATTAATTACTAAGGTAAACCATTTTTAAAACTGCTGAGAATATTTTAATTTTTCAATCTGATTTTTGTTTAAACTTAGTTTCTCTGTTTTTAGTCCTTCTCATAATATTGATGGAGACTAGTGAATCTCCACAACAGTATTTTTTTTTTTTTTTTTTTGCTGTATAAAGGTTAAAGAGTCATCGTAAGCATTTAAAAATAAGCTCTAGAGTTGAAATCTTTGGATTGGTGAAGATCGTTTCTTGGCATTTTTGATGATTTTGATATATTTTTGCTGGAAACTGTCTCCAAAAACCATTTGGCTTCCAAAAAAATAATAAAAAAAAAGAATTAAATATTCTTTTAATTGACATATAATGTTTCAAAAACAATGTCTGTTCAATTAATATGTGTCCCTCAGGGCCTGACAGTTAAAAAACATTTGTCTTTCGAACATTGTGTGGTATGTTACTTAGTTAGACATTTAGTAAACATTAAATAATGTTGAAAAATGTTGAAAAGTGTTATTCTTTTATGTCCGTAGACCTGACAGCATAAAACCGTGTGACCTGACCACAGGGGCCCGAGCTCTGTCTAAACATTGCCACAGGGACGTCACGGTCAGCTGGTGGGGAACTGCTAAGGGGCGTAAGTTTACTTTCTTTCTTTCTATATCCATTCTATCATTTAGTCATTCACTGACTTACTGAATCATTTATTTTATTCATATATCCGTATATCCCACACAATGAAGATGAACTTGTTTGTGGTAGATTTGTGATAGAAAAGATAAGGATGAAAAACAAAATGAAAGGAATTAAGAGGTACATTCTTTCATATATGAATGTTTCATAGTTAGAATGAGTCCACAATTGTTGTTTCCTAAATCTGTTCCAGCCGTTGCCAAACAAAATGATCATGCCTTTAAAGTTGTGACAAGAATATTAGATGAAGCCACCTGGATTAATATCCATAGTTTGCCAGTAAGTAGAAAATCTGATTCAGAATTCTTATTGTTTATTTTTTAAATAAGCATGCAGTCCACCAGTTATCAATTTAGTCCCAAGTTTGCTCTTCAAAATTATTGTGCATGCATTCAGTTACTGTATTAGTATTGATACTTAATGCATTAGATGTGAGCTATCAAAAAATTCGCTATTTGTTTATGAATATACAGTTGAAATATAAAAAAAGTATTTCAAAAGAATTATATTTTTTTCACACAAAGAATAAAAATACTTGTATTCTTTTGATTTTCAGAATGAAGTACTTATATTAGAAATTAGACAACAGGATGGTAAATAAATATTTTTCTGAAAATATGTTAATTGGAATTCACTTATATTTACTAGTATTCATTTGTTTGTATAGTTTGATGGAAAATGGTGTTAATAGTGTATTAAACCTTGCTCATATTTGTGTGCTGGCAACAGTTACTAGTATATGCACATACTTGAATGGCTTTTGCATTTCTTTCACATTTCAAGACAAAATACAAATGAATAAAATTAATACTTTTAGGTGCTTTTATATTCAGTAGACTTATTTGTTTATCTTTTGCTGTATATGACAATCAAAATATAAATAGAATCTTTAATTTTCATACCGACATTTTTATTATATTTTCTTATAGACTAGTGCAATATTATACAATTGTCAGTATTGTCAATAGAATACAAATGACAGTATTCTATTTTATTTTCAGGTTATGGAGCACGTTGGTCTCATGATGGACTGAACTTCCGTGGATTTGTGGAACCTTTGATGGAAAATGGACATGAAGTTGGTTGGAGACATTGACTGTATTCAAAGTTCCTAAAGACTGACAATTAATAAAAGTCCTTTTGATCACTGAGCCTACGCCATCATCATACAAGGTTCAACTTTTAGTAGGAACATGTTTATTTAACATGTTTGTATGTGCAATATTTAAAACCTTAGATTATGTCTTTGAAAACAAAACTTCAAGACATGTTGCATTAACAGCACACTATTTTATTGTCATTATAACATTTGTATAATAATCATATTCCATCTCATTTTAGTTTCCATGAAAGCATCAAAATGTTTGAACAAAATCTTTCTGTAATTCATTTGCAGCAATAAAGGTTTGAAAATTTATGGTCTAACAGATGTATATATTCATTTTTATGGATCCAACTAGTCAAATTAAAATAATTTTGCGTCTCTCATTTTCTAAAGAATGCAAATCAGTTACATATTCATTTTTATGACTATCAAAAGTAAACTCAAAAAACAAGCATATTGTATTAATGTAGAAAGTTGTAGATATATTTACCATGAAAGACCAGCTTCATGGATATAATTATCTAAAATTAAGTGTTGCAGATTTTATGCACTGAGGGTGATGTGAGGAAAATGAATGCACAGCTTATTGCTGTTTTGGTTGAACTTCCCCAAAGATGCAGTTGCTTGAAGCCGAGTTGTATGGAATTCCTCGACAACAGGCATTGTTTTCTGCAGTGCCTCTCACAATGCCTGCACAACAGAACTGGGTGGCAGCATCAAAGGCTTGTCCTGCGCAAAGTGGAGGTTTGGGAGGTGCCCTGCTGCTCGGTTTCATTGTATTTTGAAAAGAACTCCATTTTTGATTTCCTGGTTGGTTCTGGGGTTGCCTTCGTTGAAAGCAGGGGGCGGGGTCGGTGATGAGTCTGATGGCACCAGAACAGCATTTATGGGTGGCAGTTTGGAAAGGTTGACCACGACAACAGGCATTGTTGGTTCCCATATTGTGCACCACTCCAGCACAGCAAAACTGAGTGGCTTGGTCAAAGGAGAGGCCAAGACAGCAATTGTAACTTCCCTTGCAGCCTGATGTTACATTCCAACTCAATCTTGTACCATTTCTAAAGCGCATAGCCCGATTTGCATTGAATCGGCGATCGTAATCACCTCTTTTCTTTGAGCCATAACGATCATCATCACGGTCACCAAACCTGTATCTGTTCTGCCCTCTGGAACGACTTTCAGGTGACTTAGGCCCTCTGGAACGGGCGCTGGGTTTGCTGGGCCTTCTAAAACGCTCGCCAGGTGTGTTGGGACCTCTAAAACGGTTGCTCGGACTGCTGGGCCCTCTGTTGGGTCCACGACTACTGTCTTCTCTACCCGCCCCTTGCCTACAGTTATTACCTGTACAAGGTCTTCGTTGCTGCCCTGACTGTTGTACACCTGGTCTCTGACATCGTGGTCCCTGGCAAGACAGTCCCTGTGGTTGTGATGGACGGCGGTTTGGTCCTTGAGGTCCTCCGGAAGGAGCAACTGGCTTGTTAGGTGCTCCTGGTCTTTGACATCGTGGTCCCTGGCAAGGCGGTCCCTGTGGTTGTGATGGACGGCGGTTTGGTCCTTGAGGTCCTCCGGAAGGAGCAACTGGCTTGTTAGG